TATCTGTTAAAATATCTTTGAAACCGTATTCGTCTAATTAATTTTTAATTTTTTTAATTGATTTTTATTGATTACTTTTCCATTGTTGGTAATTTTAAGTCATAAAAATTATTAATATCATATTTGAAGGCCATGTCGATCACATGTATACGGCCAGACGGTCATCAACCCTTCTAAGCTGATTTTCATGCGATGTATTTTAATAACAGTGACTGACTTATAGTTATTAAAAATATGCATTAATATTACACCATAATTATTCATTATATTTAATGATTATAACGATTGTTGTTGTTAAACAATTGTTGTTTTGTGCTGGTGTATATTCAGGTTGTTTAAGTCATAGCTACCTTATTATGTATCTTACCATATTTATTTATTAACCATTAAACGTTTACATGTCTATGTGTTATTTTCTCTGTTTGTGTACCAAAAACCGTCTCATTTTTCGAGTAACTCTTCAAATAAGTAAGGCGTACATATCGAACGTGCTCATTATTTCCAACGCGGCCGTATCTAATCCGTCTACCGCGTACAAACATCATATTACTGCGTCGAGTATTATGGAAATAATAATATGCAATATGCATATTCATAAACTGTGTGTTCACAGACATTTGTTAAGACAATATCCAATGAGCATTGTGCATGAGCATTAATTTCCAATGGTCTCCTAATGGTATCGAGTACTATTTGGTAATAGTAGTTTTGCTTTTTAATTACTACCTATCGTCTAATGTCTAAGTTAAGTATAAGATAACTTTTATCAATAAATGTCACTAAATATTTTACGATTTAATTTTATCACGGAATTTTAAGTTCATTTCTAAATAAAAAATTTGAAATTGTCTAAATTTTGCCAACTTTCTCGCCAGTTGCAACACTAATTTGGATAAATCCTCAGTGATAGAATCTAGCAATGTGTTCAGAAAAAATCCAGTGGTCTTTCATAAGAAAAAATTCACTTATTGTATGTAGTTGTGTAATTGTTTTTGGGAAAGTTAAACTCGAACGCAGTCTGGAAATAATGCTTTATTAATGTGACCCGCTAAAAATGGCTTAAAATATGCTTTGAAAAATTTAGTAATTCGTGATTCACTGTGTACAACAAAGAATTTTTAATAATGAAATGTTTGAGATAATAATATTCAAATCGTAAATCAATATTGTGACATCTAAATTGGAATAAATGACGGATTTGTTTAAGAAAACCTTATATTGGTATGAGTTTCCCGCTGATGAAATCATACATGCAACTAGGAGGAAAAATCTCTTCTATTTAATAAATTAGGGCACCCAAAAATTATGCTTATTGTTAAATAAAAATATATTTAAGGTGGATAAAAATAAATTTAGCCCCGTCAAATTTTTTATCCTAGTTGCGGCCAATCATGAGAAACGAATTATCATGAATAAAATAAGAGATGAATATAAGGAGAATAAAGATTTAGGACGGCCTATAAATTTCTTGAATAGTTGTTGACCAATATGTCTCCGTGTTTGTTATAAATATTTAGGTAGACAAGCAAGCTAAGCCCAGTATTTTTCTACTGTAAAGTATTTACCATTGTATCTCTGTATCTCTTTGCTGTGGCATGTTATTAGTGTATGACTCGAGACTTACTAATACATTTTATACACAATACCTATTATGTTACGCACGCGTATGATCGGTGTTTTTGGTTATTAGTACACATCGCGTGTACAAATATCAAAGGAAACGGTAGGAACGTTAATACAACATTGAAGAAGCGTGATGATAGAATATAACATGTGCCGTGTCATGGCAAGTGCGGCATGGCTATTTGTCAAGACTAAAATTACACACAAGTGCCCGCGTGACATTGTTAAAGGTGGGGCATCATGTTATAAAAAAAAACCCCGTTCGGTATAAATTAGTAAATTACTTCCATCGGACACCCAGTTTTTTTTTTCAAATAATTATTTAGCCGAAAAGATATTTTATTAATAATCGATTAACATATTCTTAAATTTGGGACCTGAATATTTCTTAAAACAATTTCATCTTATGTGATAGCAGTATAGAAGATTTAAACATTCGAACCGTAGTCTATGGATNTCAAATAATTATTTAGCCGAAAAGATATTTTATTAATAATCGATTAACATATTCTTAAATTTAGGCTATGTTAATTTAGGACCTGAATATTTCTTAAAACAATTTCATCTTATGTGATAGCAGTATAGAAGATTTAAACATTCGAACCGTAGTCTATGGATAGTATAATTCAATAACATTTTTAATAGATACTTCAATAACATACCTCAAAAAAACATACCTACGTTTAGATGTATATGATTTAGTTGCCAAAAACAAAAAGTCTAGCAATAATTTTTATTGTTCAAAAACAATGNTTATCCGTGTGTTCTAAAGGACATTTATAATAACTGTATATACTTCAATGAAACATACCTACGTTTAGATGTATATGATTTAGTTGCCAAAAACAAAAAGTCTAGCAATAATTTTTATTGTTCAAAAACAATGATATATTTCAGATATTTTAATGTTCGCAAATGTTTTTATTGCATATTTGGACACAGAATTTGTGTGTGTTCACGTATAGCTAATATAACAGCGTTAGTTGAATTACGGTCCATTTAGACGTCCTAGTTAGAATAAAAAATGAAAAAATTGTCGCGTTTTAATGTCAAGCGTGACGTTGCAGTTGTTAGAACATGTATAATTTAGTCATGGAGAGAAATATATATCATGTCACTGGAGCACATTTAAAAAAAAAAAAAAACCGTAAAACAAAGAATGACATTGCAATGCATTGTTCATAATGAGCACATGTATGAGAGTGATGTTAAGATATATTATTTAATAAACATTTGGTTAAACTCCAGTTAAAAAAAGTTTTTGAAAATTATATAAGTTTTACTGAATAGTTTAAACACCTAATTGGAACACTTGAATGGTTTGAAATCTAATTAAAAGTTGTGATTTTCAATCAATTTAATTAGGATGTTCATATTGTAATTTCCCCCTATAAGGTTCAATTTAATAGAGATGTATTGTTGAAAAATATTTCGAATTATTTGTGTATATTTTTAAAATAGATTTATTCATTTGAAAACTCTATGTTTATAAAACCAGTTTGGCTAAATCGTCATTATAATGATGGTATAGAAAAACTAGTATACTAGTTATTTCACATTTTTTATTTTCTCTGTTAAAACTCGTATCTTAGGTAAACGTAGATACAAAGTAGTGTATTATAATAAACATTTCTAAATCATATTCTATACCTTTTTTTATCATAATTCTGTATTTATTATAAGTTCTTTCTGTCTTTCGGCATAATAAAAATATTTTATATCAACTAAATTTATATGCTTTTAATTGTATAAAAGTCAACATTTTCAAAATCATTGACTCCATGGAAAAATGGCGTAACTCGACATTTTGAATTTTTATTTTTGCAATATACTTACAATATTAACACGTATATTATGCGTTTTCAGAATAAAAAAATTCTATTGATGTTTAGATAACAAAGAACTAAAAGCCTATTTTCGTTGTTAGCTTTAAGAAAAGTGTTATCTTTTTTCCTACTAAGTAATTTTTGAAAAATCAAGTTATTTGTTTGGTTAGGTTTTAAATAATCCAACCGCGATGTATAGTGCAATTATTAAATAAGTATAATTCGCGCAGATAACATTTTAAACATTAATTAGTTTATAATCATATTAAATACATGGCCTTTAATTTTCACATGTTTTATTTTTATATAAATCAATTTTTATTATAATCTGCATTTTGTACAATAGCAAAATTTACTTAACAATAAGTAAATGATATAGAAAATTATTATTTTTTAAATTTTAATTAAGAATATTGTTTGTTTTTATCTCCCATCATTTATTTTTGCAATAAAACTCAATAACTTTCTACTTTGGTACAATTCGATTTAAATACTATAAAATTCAAGTATACTATTATTATAATGGTTATTATTGAGGTGGACATCATAATGCCCATGCATTCAGACCTGTTGGTCCATTGTGGGCAAAATTTTCAGAATAACAAGTTCAGTTTAAACTTGTTAATAGAAAATATCTAAGAAAAAGGATAATTCGATACTATTTAAATTCAACAAATGAACAAGTAATAGTCTTATTGCGCTGGGATATTTATCTCGAGGGAATTTTATAATGTCATTTTATGAAAGTCTCATTTTGGTAAGTTTAAAAATCGATACATTAAATGTACTGTGTCAAACACATGTTCATAATGCTGGAGGGAATTTCAGTGTCTGTAGATTTTTATTTGACAGATTTTAGATGTATCAATTTATCTATTTACTACGGTAATATCTTTAAATTTCTAAGACACAATATTTAGTTTATTTTAAAATTTTCTCAAATCTTATTTTAAATGACAATTTTAACAAAAGGTCATCAGTTTTTCACGCATACTGTCACTTTATTTGGGTAATGATTTATTTTAATACTTGAGACTTTCGAAATAAAGGCGATACATTTCCTTTGAAATAGTATAATTCAGAAACTCTATGCCATTTTTCTTAAGCCCCTAGAGGTACCACTGAGATAAACTGTTGCAGCTGTAGGAGATTTGTTTTTGTCATCTGCCCAAACTTGGAGTAGGAAATCTGAAATGAATAACAGTTAAAAATGTCATAATGTCTGAGATATGATACATAAACGACAAATCATCAGATCCTGTGTGTAACGATACTAAAGTCACGTACCGACCGATTATTCACTTTTTTTTATTCTACTGGGACACATGCTTTTTGAAAATTCATGATAATATAATTTTAAAATAAAAATCGTAGATGAATGTTCTTAGAGTGATCAGTCACACATATATCAAAACATTACAATATTTCATTCGATTTTTTTTTTTGTACTAAGTTCCTCCGCTATAAAAAAATCATAATTCAAATTACTTGTGCATCAAATCTTAAGTTAATGTAAAAACGTTTTTTTAACATAGAATCGAATACTTTATAGTTTTTCTTAATTCTATTTTACAACTCAATTAAACAAGCGCAAGTATTCTATTAGTGTTCAGGTGTTTCTTTTACGATCAATTAAACTTGTATGATTGTTGTCAACGGTGAATAGGACTATTTTCTGCAACATACAATAATAATTTATCCAATGATATTATAATTTAAATACTCGATGAAAATTGTAATAAAATGAGTTCTCACCATGAAATTATATCCCATTTAACGTAGATATGATAACATTTACTTGAATACTCCTCGGTGTTCCACTCATGTAATGGCGGTTATCAACCACGGGAGACCTAGGTAAATTAATTTTTTCAAAAATCTGTGCGTTTATATAAAAAAATACAGTTTAATTTATTACTTATATCACTCGTACAAGTTCATTACAGGTTTATAATTTTGTGTGCTAATGTTATTACGCTACTAATAGCCAATAGGTACTCAGCAGATGTATTGGGATTTGAAACCCGTTCCGCCTTAATCGACCGAACCCAGTGACGTTTAATTTATACTTAAAAATGTTATTCACTTGTATAATTTTTTCTCAAGATTTCTTTCTCACAGTCGTATCAATAAAAACAAAATCATGCCTAATTAGAATGATATAAAAGTACATTAGGTCTAAAGAATACGATGATTTTTTTGGCTTGATACTCTATAGGTGATAGTGATCAAATGAAGTTATAAACTATACAAATTTACAATGTTATATAAAATATGGGATGATTTTTTTTAAATATAAATTATTTATACTCTTAAATATTTAACGCAGTCCCCGCAAAAGGCAGCTTATATATCCAAAATAAACATTTCGGCTATTTTAATTTTAAAATGTATACGAATATTTATTTGATCTTAATTTAACCATATCACCTATAAATTAATTATTTTTAATAAAATCATTTTATCTACAAAACCAAGTATGAAGATCTTTAATTTTTAGTAACATTTTCTAATTGATTTTTTTCAGTATTTTTCATTGAAAAAAAAAAACGATATACGATTAGTTTAAAAAAAACTAATATTAAAAAAAAACATGTTTATTACTAAAATAAGCATCTAAAAAGTACATCTTAAATTTAGATGTTATATTTTTTTTGAACTTTCAAATTAAATTTTTTATCTTTGTCTAAAATAATTTTCCGCAAAATACTGTCAAATTGTATGATAATTATTGAAAAAAAAATTAAAATTCGTAATGAATATTAAATGTACATTGAGATTAAAATTAAACTATTCCTTTACGATTTTGCTAATTTTTGTATTATATAGGCGATTGAAATAATTGAAATGCGCATACTCTTAGTATTTTTTTACAAAATAATAACTCTCGACATTTAAAAGAATCATTTCCATTTTATATTTATAAATTACATTTTTGAAAAATTTAATTTGTATGCAATATTGCTCTATTTCTCTACCTGCTTATTTTTTTTAATAAATGACACTCGTAATAATGCATAAGAATAAATTTTTATTGAACTTTGAAAAACGCAAAGAATTTTTTATCGTTCTATTAACAGTTTTTGAAGAAACGTGTTCAAGAAAAATATTACCCAAACATACTTTACATCTTGCACTATAAGGGTTGTACCTAAAAATGTTATATACTTAATGTATAGGTTTAAAGTAAGTACTATATTCACCAATGATCCAAGAGCAATTTCTTTAAAATGTTTTTCACGTTTTGCGAAGCTAAAAATGCGTTTCCTATAATTTCTAATCATCTACGGCGATATTTCCGGTTGATGTATTTCTAGACTTCTATCTAATTTATTACACCCGTGGCAGTGTTGATAACCTACATTTTTACAGTTTTTATGACAACGGCCAAAAGGATAAACATTTATATAACGTATAAAAGCGTGTCTAGTAATAATGAATGAGCAGTCGCGACAGTCTTCCAATGTACTATCAGTATATTTGAGGGATAAATAATCATGAACGATATTTACAATTTTTTTCTAGAATAGTAGATTATAATTACCATCTGGAATCTCTTTGCAGCTTGTAGCTTAGTATGTTACGGAATGTATTTTAATGTAGTTAAAATCACTACTATCTATTATTAGATTACATCTTAGAAACCATACGATTCATTAGCTTATATAGTGCCGCTCTCTCAAAAATATATCAATCATGAAGTTAATTAAAACGCCGAAATTGATTCTTCATAATGTGTTAGGCCGTAGAACTCCTTAGACCATAACCAATTTTCAAAAGAATTTTTTTAAAAAAATGTATTCTAAACAATGGATATAATTATTTTATTCGAGTAATGTGAAATATATTGATAGATAATTTGGATAGTGTTAGTTACTTACATTTAGTTGAGTATTTTAGAATTTATAATGCAAAAATAGATTGTATCGTATTATTTCTCTAAAACACATTTTACGGTTTTTGCAATAAGATCAAACAAATGCCGCGTTTTCATTTTGATTAAACGTACAGTAAACATGTGTCAATTTAAACCCACGTAAACCACAATGAGTCGTATATTATTTTATTACCGGTACTTGTGTTAGGTGAAAAATATGCTGAATGTGTTTTGTTTTGTAGACACGTGCGCATTGTCGTTTTCGGTACTATCAAACATTTTGTGCTTACACATCCGGCCACAGCATTAAACAGAACTTAAAACACTTAATAAATGTAAACCTCTGTTAGTGTTGACATAAGAGCTGATACTTTTTGGTATTAAAAAGTATACCCTAGCATAAGTATTTGTGAATAAAACGTTTCAAATACATTAACAATGAGGCAATAAATTTTGTCAATCCACATATCATTTTTATTCGAAATATTTAAATTAAATTTAGAACTTAACCAATGATTGTTTTTCGATATTTTACCATAATTACATTTGGTCTGAAAATATTGATAAATTTAGAAGACTTTTATACTAAAATTGTCAAATTTTTATATTTTATATATAAGATACATGTTTGAATAATAAGAAAAATATATTTACAAAAATTTACGATAACACCATTACAAGCGGCTCTCTTTTGTCGGTTTTATCTTGACAGGGATGTTTTACCGTTCAATCTTAATGCCGTTCATTGTGGGATCCTTACACTAACGAACTACAATTGTTAATTAGTAACATGCCTTGTATTATTTTACAACAGCAATATGGTAATGAATATTATTTTCGTTACTTCCCGCAGTCATATGAGAGTACTTGTTATAGTACATGAAGATTTCGATTAAATATTCAAACGTCAAAGATACTAATCAAGTAGTTCTGGAGTAGTATACTGATGTGTAATATTAATCGTACTACTACATTATTGTTGAATAACATAAAACTATTTTTTTTTAATTTAAATTCATTAAGAATAATGAATTCGATCATTTGAAGTGAACGTTGTTAATATTAAATAAATAAAATTATGCTATATAATATTATATAATTGTAGATATAATTTGACAAAGTATAGCAATTTTAAAAACTATTAGAATTTACTATATCATTGATTGTTATAAAACGGTATATTTATCATTAAATATCTGCTTACCCATATTTCGGGCTCGTTATACTCAATAGAGACATCAAACAAACAATAATTTAGTAACTACAAGTTGTAAAATGAATTGTGTAAATAAATTCATGGATCAATTTTGTTATTACTACATGTTATCACGCGAAGAACTATAATTAAATAATTTGAAAATTTCTCTATCATCAATTAATACGGCAGTTTGAAAATTTAAAAATGAAAAAGCGTTAAAACACTCTTTTCTTTCTTTGAGAAAATATTAATTAAATATAACATTTTCTTCAAGACTTTAAATTATAATCTAACTAGTATGAATTAACGTTAAGTTTTTAAATGGATATCAGTTCGTCTAACCAATAAATTCTTTTGGTTTTCAACAAACATTTAATAATTTGAATTTTAAAGTCTTTATATTTTAAACGTCAAATTATTATAACTTAAAATTGATTGAAAAGTCATGAATTTTACATTTGCAAGAACCCTAAACTTAACATAAAATTTATTATTATTGGCTAGAGTACGTTTGCATTAAAGCCCCGTCTTTAAAACATATAATTGGTTGTAAATTTTTCATGAACGTGATTGGAGTATTAAATCGAATGTAATTTGAACGGTTTTGGTTTTATTATAATCGAAGTTTTCCGCTATTTCATTTAATGAATTCGTAAACAGTTTATTTATTGGTGTTTTCAAATATATTACAGTATATGGCGTACTTTAAGACAAATTAGAGCTTAGTGGTGCATTCAGGTAATCATTTTGATTTTTTTATAAAGTAGTTTTCTATAAATAGCACCAATGATCGAACGTTTGACGCAAACAGCTTCAAATTTCGGTATCTTTTTTTTTTCTTTCGATGATACTGTATATTCATTACAATAGCTATAGATTATTATGTGGGATTGTAGGAGGCACTGTCATGTTTACAACACCCACACCAGTATACATTATGGCTTAGGATTTGAAAAATTGGATGAATGCTCGCCCGTCTTCGTAGGATGTAACATTGTAAATGCTTATGGACAACAAAATATTTCAGTCGGAAAATACAGACGGACAAAAGCTGAGTTTTTACTATCCGCTGCGGCCGAGTAATAAAAACTACCACATGCGATATAATAGCGAAAGAAATAGCTTTATTTAATAAAAATAATAAAAGAAAATCTTCATGTTTATTATGTTTCTATGTATACAATGAAGAGATTTCCATTTATATGGACGGGTTGAGGGAATCCTTTGACGGCGGATAGAAAACAGAACAAACGACAACTGTGACGATTTTTATTTTTTTATATGGATCATACTTGAGTTCCGGCACGATTCCGTTCGCTGTGTTAACTGTATTATGCGTAAGCGCATGCGCCATTTCCCTCCCCACAAGTCTTAACGGCTCCAGTCTGTCGGTATCCTATGATCGCATCTGTCGCCGACTAGCCCGTTCTATCCCACCGCGAGCATGGCAAGGAATGCCGCCATGATGGCCGCCGACTGATGAACACGCACACATTAAGTGCCCCTCCTATAACGACTTGTACGTACAGAGGTTTTCTGTCGTTGGCACACTTAATATATTATGTCCCGAGTGCAACTCCAGCACTATGCTAAACCATACAATAATTTAGATATTATAATTTGACGGGTTAAGGATTAAAATCTTGAGAAAATATTCACCCTTTTCGTGTCCTTTAAAACAGTTGTCAACTATTTTATTAAATTATATAAAATATTTGTCGAAAAAAAATAAATTGCAAACTCCGCGGGTAATCACGTACTACAAGGAATCTTTAGATGTTAATAAAAACGCATCAAGTAATACAAGTTTTGAGTATAAGACTTCTTCTATCTCATTATTTTATTCTGAGAGATCGATTGTCTGTATCTAATCTCTGATTTAATAACCTGTTCTATTATTTAGTAAAAGACTGGAAAGCTGCAAAAATTATAATCATTTCGACTGTATTTAACGGATATCGATTGTAAATCATTTCAACGGTGTAATAAAATAATTATTTAATATCTTATTTTTCTTGAGTAATTTATTTAATGTTCGTTCTAAATTATGATATAAAAATCATGGAATTTAA